GTTATACAAAGATTTTTATTTATTAACAATTACAATAACCATTATTTTTCAATTTATATAATTTGTTACATTAAAATAATAATTATTACACCACGTTGTTGAATATCACTAGCAATAACTGTTTTAAATATGTGGCGGCAGCAGCCATTTTCTCGCATACACCGGAAACTCTATCGGACACGCGCCATTCTATCCCAATAACTGACATGTTAGCAATCTAGTTTAGTATAGATATCTGTGAATAGGGAAAAATAGTTCAGGATTTTTCGACTCAAGTTTACTCCTTCTTCCTGCCTACGAACGGTGATATGACAATTACCGGACACCCTGTATATATATGTTTTTTCTTTGAGAAATACACACACATATATTTGTTTATTTATTTTCTTTGAGATACTCGTAATTCTCATTCAATTCAAACTGCAAATTAAAATTTAATTTATTTATGAGTTTTTTTTATAAATAACTAAACTAAAACGAGAAAAACGAAAGCAGAACAATATGATAGAATATGCATATAACAAAAATTCTATTTAATAAAGTTCCTAAGAGAAAAAGAGAAAGAAATGAATTATATGTAAAGAAACATTTCTGTAAGCCAAGAACGAGATTTTTTAATATCTTTGTCTGATTATGCAAGGAACATAAAACCGTCTTCGGATGTAATAAAAAAGCGAATTTTTGCGTGTAGACGACGGCACGCTTTGAATGAGCAGTTAGCAGAACTGCATAAACTATTTCTGCCATTATACGTGCTTTGTTTTTTTTGCGTGTAATTTTATTATAGCTAATAATACATTTTAATATGTGTGTGTGTGTAATTTTAAAGAACTTCTGTGTGTACACAGATACAAAACATTATGTTGTCTTTCCTCCCTCTTTCTCTCGTTCGCTCGCAAAACATGTACGTATATAATTTAAATTAAATCATTGATATGCGTAGGATGTGGAATTCGATAAATTGAACGCCATGAAGACCGTTCCACTTTATGCTTTTTAATTGCTTATTGAGATACAATATTGATCGAGTTACTTTGTTCATAATATACTTAATACATGAACAATAAATCTTTTTTTCATAAGAGTCGTACGAATAAGGACAAGTAATATGATTTTGAAAACATATATAGTGCGTATTAAATCTTAGGAAGTACAATATCTCTCATGTGAGTAACGTGTCATCCAACTCTTCTATTTTACCTTCCGGCTGAGAGAGAACTTTACGTAATACTTTGCTGACCACATCGTGTAGAGATTCTCTCGCGCCAGCATCGAGAAAAGCCATACAACGCTGAAAGAAAGCAAGACAATATCAGTGAAAAAAACTTTAAAATTCATACACAAAAAATAATCAATTTATAAAATTTAAACTTTGATTAAGTGAAGATTTGAAAAATAACTAACCTGATGTTCTTCTTCACCTTGTCTCAGTCGAAGCACCGCGATAAGCGCAAGTTCACTATTCGCTTTTACATATCCATTTTTTTCTTTTGTCCCATTCATTAACATTGGTAAAAGTGCTCTGAGCAATTCAGATGACATTTTTTCAGGCGATATGTTACGCGCGAGATGGATACAGACTCGAGCAAGTAATTGTTTTACGTCATTTGTGTTATTATTCATAGACTGAAATTTTAAGCAGAAGAGAATACTATATAGTATAAAACATTATCAATTTGTTCACACATGAATATATAAATCTCTCATATCTTTCCAAAGTTGAATTATTATAAAATAATATGTATATAAAAGGTTGTATCTCACACAGATAAATCGTTTGAAATATTTACCCTCACGAAAGGTGATAAAATTAGTTGTGGTATGGGTTGTGACTCGTTCATGAGATATTGGAATAGATACCCACATGCTCGTATTCCATTCATGACTATCTGTACTCTATCCGCAGCTAAATATGAAAGTATTAGCGTGCAAACACGATCTTTTTCCTTAATGTACACTGTAGCAGGTGATTCTTTCAGCGCTACAAAAAGTGCAGCTGAACGTCCATGTCTAAGCATCCAGTCAGCATTAACATCGTTACCTGATTGGATAAATGTTATGTTAAAAAAAATTTGTCTAAGTAAAAGTAATTTTTCTAAGTATAAATTCAAATTGTTCACATTCTTAAGAAAGTCACGAAACTTACATAACAAATGATCATTAAACGCGATTGCTAATTGCTCTGAGTTTAACCATCGTAAAAGGGCACCAAAGCAACCAGCAACTGCATTTCTTGTAACATCTTCCGGATGACCAAGCATGCTGCTGAGCGTTGCGAATACTTGTTTCTTCATAGGGTCAGTCATTTTATCACCAGCTGGAGTTAGAACACCTCTTAGAGCTTGTAGCATTGTTTCTCTATTTAAACAAATAAATTAACAACATAGATATTTTCATATACAATTCAAAGCATATACGTATAATATATAAAAACTGTTACCTTATTGCAGGATCATCTCCTGTTTTGATACCAGTATGAAGTTCAGTGAACAGAGGATCGACACGCGTATGAATGACAATCAGGTTACTAAGAGCGTAAGCTGCTTTCAACCTGACTTGTCGATTGCTATCATTCAAAGCTCTTAAAAAAGTTGTTTGAAGTTGCGGCAGAAACTGTTTGAGCATAACACCAACCTATCATATACAATAGATACATTAAGTTTGAACAGGATTAATGCAATCAATGGCACATTTTATAAACTCAAAGAATAAAAATATTTAACAATATTTTTATACACACACACACAAACCTTTCCGAGTAATATCGCAAGTGTCTCAAGCACAGCTGCTTTAACACTCCAATTAAAACGGTCACCAAGAATTCGAATAAGCGGGCCAGTAATGTGTACAACACTTGGCTGCAATGCAGCCGCACTAGATAATCTTATAACTTCTCCTAATCCTTGAGCAGCGTGTTCTTTTGCTTCTGGCAATCCGTTCAATATAGCTTCTCTGAATAAAGGTAGAATTGGCGTAATCCCTTTGGGAAGACAAAATCCGGGTAACAATTCCTGACTTCTCAAATCGGACACAGCAAATCGGACGGCTTGCCTGATATCCTGTACGTGTGCTATCTGTTGTTCAGATGAAAGAGTCTGCGAGAGATAGAAAGTCAATCAGTTTCTTTTGATATTCAAGCTGGCAGACCTCTTTCATACGAACATTATATCTTTTGTACTACCTTGGTGACGGCGGTAAGGGCTTCCCAACTCATTTGCAATACATCTCTATCTTCATCGGTAAATAAATGAATCAAACCTCTTAGCAATTGGGGTACATACTGACTATAATCAGCTCTAGTGTCACGACAGAAAGCGCAAAGCAACGTTGCAGCGCTTCGTCGTTTCGAGAGATCTTCCGCTCTCGTGGCTTCCATTAACTGATCCATAACGGTTCTGACGCCTACTTCATCGGTGACAGAAAGAACAACAGCCTGACAGTATTCTAATTCCTGAAGCTCATTTGCTGTTCCTTGTGCACTAGAAAGGGCAGTGAGTAACGCTGGTAGAATTCTATGAAGAAATCTCGTTAATGCTTCGCCTGCCACGCTAGCCAATATCGACAATGCTTTTGTATTAACTGGAGGGGAAGCTAATTGCGGGACTAGATACGGGAGTACAACACGCGATTTGATAGCCATCACTTGGCGTAAACCGTCTAATGTATTTTCCGCTTCGGCTGGATCTGGTGAATTGAGTTGTGTTAACATTGCCGGCAATATATCATCAAGCGCGCGAACGCCCACTGTGGAATGTAAACCATCAAAAGTCTTAGCCGCAGCTTGTCGAACCTCCGGCAGTGGATCACAAAGCGCTTTTCTGAAATACAAAATTTTCATTCAAATATGCTCTCTATTGGCGCGCGCTTGTACACACACACACACACGTACGCTCGCACGCAAGCATCAAATACTCACCGTACTGTTGGCACAAGGCTAATAACAAAAGTTAACACCATATCTTTGTTGGTGCTGGCCATAATTTCCGAGAGACCTATGCATACTCCCTGGCGTTGATCAGCCTGATCACTCTGCAACCCCTTCTCCAAGATCGGAATAATTTCCGGTAATACTCGTTCTCCTAATTTTCGAACAAGGTCGCCTAATGTTCGAGCGGCCACTTGTCTCTTGTCATAACTCGTGCTCGCCAAACATCCCAGTAGAAGCGTAAAGAGAGTTGGTAATATTTCTCGCAATGTTCTAGGTGTATTAGTCACGACAACTTTCCACACATGAAGAGCCGCTTGACGTACCATTAACGCTACATCCGACCGACCCATATAGAGACCGGCCAATACGCGATTCCGTCTCTCCGCACCTAAGGCGTTTATGATAGCAAAATGCGATTGTTCGGTACCAAAATTATCATCTTCGCTCGCAGTTTCAGTTGACATTTTGCCCGAAACACCAGAAATTCTATAGAGCAAATCGCCGAGAAGTTGCACGGACGAGTATCGAATACGCCAGTTATCGTCAAAAAGACCTTTCTCCAATTCCGGTAGTAATAACATTATCGCCGAATCGGCATAAAGTGTGACGATACGTTGTCCTGCTCTGAGAGCGGTCTCTCGTACATATTCGTTTTCATCGGCTAACGCCTTTAGAATGGGATTAATAATTTGTCCTATATAGGGCGTAAACTCAGTAGTAAACGCACTTGGCATGTATATAAACATCATGATATATCCATCTTTTACGTGGGGAGCAATGTCGGTTCTTTCTGCAGTGCTAATTATTTCAGGCATTAGCTTATGAAGTTTCTCAACTCCTAGTCCACGTACCACTTCCGAAAGACCTTGGGCAGCGCCAGATCTGTCAACACTACTAGTTTCAGAAGTCAACGTTTGCATCAACCAGGGTAACAAATCCTCAAAACTAGACTCGCCCATTCCTCGTACCATTGCACCCAATGCTCTTGCCGATACGCTGCGCACTTCCGGTACTGGATCGAGTAAACTCGTCTTTAAACCAGGGATAATAGTCGGCAAATACGGTGTCAGATCTTTTTGATCTGTTAAAGAGTACATATTTCCAATTATTTGCGCGGCCATCTTTCTTGTCTCTGTTGAACGATCGAGAAACGCGCGCTGCACCACGGGCATGATCAAAGCTAGCGAGGGAGCATCAATAAAATGTACAAATTGTGTATCCAATAACGTTTGCAGGCAAGTAGCGGTCTTGTGTGAAGGATCCTGTAATGCTTTCAATAGTACGGGTACAATTGCTTGTATCTCCGGATTACGGATAACACTTCCAATGACTTTGAGAGCTTCCGCGCCAGCTTCTTGTACCTTTGTGTGAGAATCGCTAAGCACCTCTATCAACTTGGGAACAATACTTGGTAAGCAGCTGCTCAACTGTTTCGGTGCGCAGTATGCCATAGCACCGAGTAATTCGACGGACCCTGTGAAAGCAAAACATGTCAACTTCAAGTTTAACTTGATAGATATATCAACTTCAAGTTTAGTTTGATACCAAGTATCCTTGTTGATTACTCTTTTCTTCCTTCACTCTATCAAGCTAAATAATAATAAATATCGTATTTCTAAAACAACACGCTAATAAAATTTTGTTACATCTCTGTGACAAAGAAAACTCTGTGGTTTAAGGAAAACACTAAGATTAACGCACATGACACATAGAACTAGTTTACATCGTATATCTTTTTTGGTGCGCAAATCAAATAAAATTTTTTTTTCACATCATAAATTCTGGTTTTTTACACTATTCTAAATGTGTTTGATACGCGTACTATTTTGATACAATACGCGTGAAGAAAGCATATCATATCAGCTTAATACGGCGTCGTTTACATCATTGAAACTGAAGCAATTTAGTATGAATATAGTGCTTGATACGCGTATTAAGAGATCGGAGAAACTAGATCACAATTTGTTGTATGTGTGATTACCTGTTTTTGTTCTCCAAGAGTCTTCTTCGAGAGCCGCCAATAAACTCGGAAGAACGAGTTTAACGCCATGAGCAGACAGTTTACTCATAACCACTCTAGCGGTGTCATCAGTAGCAGTTCGCACATACTGACTCGAGTCGCCAAAACACAGGAGCAAATGCGGCAAAACGTGAACAATGTAAGGTTCGAACAACCTTCCAAGCATCGTGCATAACATTTCGAAAGCAAACAAAGCTCCTTCGCGATGTCTATAGTTCTTTTTGTCTTGAATAGCAGTAGTCAACTTGTTCATAATATCGAGTTGCTTCAATGCTAGAATTCCCATACCCTTGATAAGGCCCGCCAATCCATAAGCCGCGCCCTTACGCTCGCCGTACTTGTCAGATTTGAGCAGTTGGTCCATTAAATTGTCAACAATTTTCGGCGCATCTTCTTTAATAGAATCAGTGAGATGCGGTAAACAATTGGCTACGGCCTCCTGAACTTGCTGCGATGGTGTTGAAAGAGCGGTGATGAGACGCATCACAATGGGCTTGATTCGCGGGTCATTCTTATCCAAATGTCTCGCCAGAGACCCCATAAGAATTACTACCGATTGTTTGATTGAATCGAAACTACCGATTTTTGGTGCCTTATCCATAAAATCTTCGAAGACCGGTAGCAACGACGTTATATTCGTACTACCGTGAAGGTCAACCGCCGCGACAGCGGCCGTAAGCATCTCGGTGCGTACCGCTTGATTCCTGTCTCCTAGACCGGTCAGAACAAAAAATTGCACAAGACGATGTACCGTCTCGGCAGTGAGACAAGGCGCTATTTGAGTGAGTGCAAGCGCTACTCCGCGTCGTGGACCCCACATATCGATAGACTGTTCAATTACTCGGCCGAAATCATTTAATTTTGGCGGTATTAAAACCAGTTTTTCGTCATACAGATGCAACAAGCTATCCAGTACAGATGACGTCAAATGAGGCACACTAGCCAAGCTGTGTGCTAATGCGACGGCAGCTGCTTGCTGTATCGGTTCCACTGGATGAGCAATGTCTTGAATTAGTTCATTGCAAAGAACTTCTGGCTGCGCAGTAAAATCAGCCGCATTCCACAATTCATTGGCAAGAATCTTGTTCTCATCGTTTACGTCAAATCGAGCAATCCATATTCTTCTAGTAAGTTGATTGAGTTGACCCGAATTCTCTTTTTGAGATGGGAACGCTTTTTGTATTACCGTCAGTCCGCGAAGTGCCGCGTCTCTTACAGTGGGCGAAGAATTTTGTAGCGCACCGATCAGAGAATCGATGTCTTCACTGGTGGCGATTGCCGCGCCTGGTTGCCCGCTACCAGATTGTGCAACATCCAACAATGTCGCTATCGCATGCGGCTGCACTCGACCTGTTGAGATCTCCATTAGTTCGATCAGCAAGTCAAACATTTGTTTGCGTGGCAATAATCGAGGATGTCTAATATCTTTGGAATCTTTGGAGCTGCTTCTTTGTTTAGCATGTTCCTGGATCAATTGCAGCCCTTGTATTATCATATTCTCATCTTTATACGATAATAAAGTTTTTCTTATAAAAGGAAAAACATAGCAAAACGCAGGTGCTGTAAATAATTCTTTCTTTTTGATCGTAGCTGTATGTATAAGATTTAATGTTCTTTTAACCGCTACGTCAAGATTTTCTTCTTCCCAAGCTTGATCTAAATCACATAGTGGTTGTAATTGCCGCAATGTAACATGAGCAATAAGATCGCTTAGAATCGCACTATTATCCACCGTGATAGTTTGTCGAAGAGATATAAAAAGTTGAGACATTTCAGGAGCTGCCAGTGGAGAGGCGAGGTTTTTCAAAATAGGTGGCAACAGATCCTTCAGATGAAAAGATAGTTCTTGCTTATTTCCGTTTATCGAACTTTTTACTAAAGATACAGTGTGATCTATCTTGGCTTTTAATTCAGTTAATCTTTTGCGTATGCTTGTCTCTTTCGCTATTTGCGTCTTTATACTTTCCTCTTGTTTAGGCGTCAATTTTGGTTCTTTTATTTTGCCCTCCTTTTTACGTTTTTCATATAATTCACGCCTTAATTGAAGTTCTTCTTGTTGCTCCTTGAATGAGTAAACTTTACTTTCTCTTTTCATATTTACAGAATTGAGAATGTCATTGTCATCGTTTATAGGCAATACGCTTTTGTCGTAAAGTTCACCTTCAGGAGTAAGATATGTGAAATACTCGTCCTTGGTAACTCTTAAAATTTCTGGATCATCGAGCTTATCTATTATATCTGATACAAGCGAAGGTAAAAAAACTTCCGGAGTTAATGATACAATTCTCGCAACTGCGTTTTCATAAGTTGGCAATGGTTTATAATTTTGTATCAATATCTTCTTCACTTCATTGCTATAGTTACGTAAGAACTCCTTTGGCACGATATTATGGTTTTTTGCGATTTTAAACCATAGATTTGGCGCAGCTTTTAACAGCACTTGATGATGAGATGGAAGTAGGGCGTCTTTTATCATTTGGTACGTAAGTGCTTCAAATAAAAAAGAACCGGAACACAATGCGAACAATCCGTCCGAAAGACATCTGCCTGTTACTTCTCCTATTAAATTTGTCTCTTCTCTGCTTTCTTTATCTGATTCCAACTTAATCTTGACATTTTCCAAAAACTTGCTAAATTCCATCAATAAAGTTTGGGCAGACGTATAACTACTCAGGCCTGTCATAATCTTTTTAATCAAAGGAAAACATCGTCGTCTCGTAGAAGAGTTTGGAGTTATAGCGCAAGATACAATCGCGCGATAAATTCCGGTTAAAGCTTTCTCGTTTAGCCTATTGGAAAATTCACTGATAAGTCGCTCGCATAGCGACATTATATGATACAAGATGTCATCGCCACAGGTCAACAGGAACTTTTCCGAAAAGAATATTTGTTCGTCGATCGCGTTCCACAATACATTCTGTTTATCGTTCTCAATTTGATCGGCTAATATTAACTTTAGTAATAAATACGAAGCAATTAAACCTTCGGTTACAGCCGCTGGTTGTGCGCACTGCTGCATAGCTCGGGTTATTGCTTGTGCAAGAATTGGTACTATTATTCCCGAGTAAGGAGCAACAGGAGTTGTAAAGAATAATTTGACATAAGCAGTACGTACTGCGGCCGTGGACGTTTTTGCTGCCATGCCTTTTTTGAAAGCATCTACCACTATTTTTGGTACTGTTGATGTAAATTTCTTGGACCACAATGCCATCATTTCGAGTGCATATATCAATGTTTTTTCATGAACTTCAGTTTCGAGTACTTTAATAAAATGCTCACAGGCTGTTTCAGACAGTTTTTGTACAGTGCTACCTGAAGCAACATTGTAACTGAGATTACCTGCTCCTTGCAGCACAGAGATCTTGTGAGTTGCAACTGTGAGCTTTCCTTCTGATCCGTGGAATATAGCAAATACAGACGATAACATTGCTTCTAAAGCAGTCGTGTCGGAACATTGTAAAGCAAGTTTCCGGCATGCTACAACCGCTTCATCTCGTACTAAATCTTCCTTAGAATGTAAATTGGCAAATAATCCTTTACTAATATCTTGACAGTATTGACTCAAGTCCAAACTTAATCCATTTAATATGTGACCAACTGATTCAATTATGATCTCAGGATTACGTAACATTGCTTTTTGTAAAGCAGGAAGTAAATGAGATTTGAATTCTTCATGTGTTAATCTTTGAAGAAATGGTGCAGCTACATCTACTATATATAAATCTGGTTTCTTCTTACAACTAATTGTTACTTTTATAAAAATTTCTACCATATTTGCCTGAAAAGTATAAAAAATATACGAATATAACAATATAATATATATATATATATATATATTTATATAAATAACAGAAATAAGAGGAGAGAGGGTGAGTCTTCAGTTACACTATTTCTCTTACCTTTAACCGTTCGATTAAATCATTTCTTTTTATAACAACTAAATATCTTGTAAGTAAGCTTGCTAGAATAATTACACCATTCCCAAGTTCCAATTTTCTTAAATTTTCCACATAAATTACTTCTATGCGTGTAGCAATGGTCCATTCATGTGCTAGTAACATGTATACTTTGTTAGTAAGTTTTTTATCTGCAGATGCTAACGCTGCAGCAGATAAATTTGCTTGTGCCTCAATGAGTCGCAATAATGTTTCATTGATACATAGCTCCTTATTATATCCATAAAGAATAACTAAAGTTGACCATTTTAATACAATATATGCAGTTAGAGTAGTATTTGACCTATAAAAAAATAAACAATAAACATTATTAGAAATACATCGCTTAACAACAAATATTTAATTAGAGAAGAAAATAATCTCCAATTCATCATTTACGTGGCTATGACATTCTTATGCCAAACAGCTTGCTCAGAAATTACAGTTGTCATATGTTTAATCGTAGCCTCTGGTTGTTTTTTTAGCAGTTCTACAATCAAGTTTCTTATATAGGATTTGGAAGCATTGTCTTTGTATCTATGTAAGGTAAGTACAACTACCTTACAGAGTCTATTAACAATTTTTTCATTAATACCTAAAACAGAACATTACATCCCAATATTTATTGTCAATACTAGAAATATATAGCACACACACGTGATAATAAATATAGATTTTTAGGGAATATCGGAACGCAGCCATTATTACATACATATGATCATAAAAATATTTTCATTGCTTATTTTATTACAAGAGAACTTTCTCTTGTATGATTTTTCTATATTATGCAATTTAATATATAACAATAATAATTTTATCTCAATTTAATATAAAATAACTAAGCAATTTATAAATAAATGATTTACTTAGGCTTGCTTAGTTAGCAAACTTGAATTATATTTGTATTTCAAAAACCAAGTTTTTTATTTAAAGTAAAGTATATTTATAAGTGTATACTAATAAGTTTTATATTATACAAAACTTATTAGGCACTTATAAATACACTTTGACAATTAGTGCATATGTGTGTGTAAACACATATTTATATAAATTTTAATAATATCTACTAGCAAAACCTTGAATCTTACAAATAAATTTTCATAAAAACAATTTAAAAAAAATTATTTGAATTTATAAACTATTTAGGCTGTTCTCCATCTTGCTTCAAAATAATGTATTTAAAATATGCAGCAAACTTGCAGTATTCTATATCTTCATCAATGAATTTTTCTTTTTATTTGTTTATTGAGCCTTCGAATGTAAAAATCACTTATTTCTTATATATATATATATATATAAATATAGTAAAGTTTTATGGAACTCTACCGGGATTTGACAGTACAGTGACGACATTTTGTATAACCTCATGGCGCTCATTTTTGCTAGCGGTTTGTATGCGATTCGGCAAATCTTTCAGGGCTTTTGCCAGCTGCAACACAAACAGTAATTATAATACGTAACAACAATAAAAATGGAGATAATGTTATATTTTCTGAAGTTCTCCACGTGACTGCTTACCTCAACATCCGCCATATTTCTTTCAAAACCGGACTGATGTTAAAGCGCTCTTCTTTGCAGGTGTGTACATCAACATTAATATGTTAATACATTAGGGTCAATTATGGATCAGATCACGAATTACGATTGTATTAGAATTTAACCAATCAGAACAAAATCTCAAGTTTAGTAACCTTTATCTTGATTGGATAAATCATACATACGTACAATAGGTTTTGCCTACACTTGTACTTTTTACACAAAAGTGTAAACACAGCGTTCTTGAAGTCGATTATGGCTGCTTTCCTTTTAGGAGACACAAATCGACACAGATTAACACACTCGAGCACAGTTTGCCACAGTAAATGGAACGCGATATATACAGTGTGTGTACGAACAATACAAACTTGTAATATACATAACTTAACCTTACAAAACTTTTCAAAATTTTCAAACGGTGTGGTCTTAACTTTTACAAATGTACATATCTATATATTATATTAAATATTTATATATATATTTGTGTATATAAATATGTGTTTCTTAGTGTAAATA